TAAGGTTGTGGCTTTCCTACATTTTTAAAGAAAATCTGATTTGTGCTAAACATATAGTCCTTTTAAATGACAATTATAATCAAAAAGAATGGTCTGCGCTCTTTGTGGCTTTATTTTATGGCGTATTTGATCATGAAGGTCAAGATCTAAATGTTATAACTAACCTGTCATGGGAGAAATATGGGGCTGTCATTGCTGGCCTCCCTATAAAATGCTAGTTCTCTTACTGTCATGGTTTCCTGATCTGCATAATTCTTAAAGCTGAACAACCAGCATTACTTTCAGCCTTGCTCAGATGTACAAACCCCTCTCCTGTACTAAAATTGCGTACTTTGATTTTGCTGCAATGACTGCATCACAACGTGCATTATAAACTGCAGCAAGTCATAGGCAACCCCCCTCATCCAGTTCTTTTTTAAAACAATCCACTGAGTAGGCCAGAACCAGGAGGATGTCCAGTATCTAGTGCTTTTCTCCTCAGCCTTACTGTCCCTGACCCCCATTTTTCATTTACCAGATTTAACATTTTTCAATCATGGAGGCTAAGCATCACATGTGGGCATTATCTAAGGCAGTCTACATGGACGTACTGCCTGCCTAGGAAAGCCCAGACCCTCAAACTGACTTTGCCCTCTCAAGGCATTTGTATATGTGCATAACGTAACCAAAAACCAACCTATTGCTTGTATCTTACTCTTGAGAGGAATACTGAAGCAGGGTGCTGTGATCTTTTAAGAAAATGATGTGTATGTACTGTACACGACTGGTTCTGTAGCTCCTCTCCTACCTCCTCTACCATTCTCCTGTCTGCTCTTATGGCTAAGCATCCTCCCTGCAAGACACCCTTCATAGGTATGTTACCTCCCGTTGATCTCCGATAGATACTAGTTGCTTGGCCTGGTGAGAAGGGGGTAGAGTACTATCCCCGACTACTGGGGTATCCCCACAAACTCCTCTATGACACATCCCTAACATTCCTGAGCTATTGGGTCACCCTAATTCAAGTTGGTGGTGCCATCTTGGTATGTACATGTATTTTTGAATGTTGTTTTTATATCTTTGGATGACCTAAAGATCTGTTATAAGTTGGCCAATACATTTTTTTAAAACAATTTTTGCTGCTATGTCAAGCTATGCAGGCACAATTTGGGCCTGTGACTCTTGAGCTACCGGAATCATCCTTAGAATTACTACTATTAGATCCAGATATTACTAAGTTGGTTACCACTATCTTTTCCAGTCTTCAATCAGCCAGGGCCAGCCTCTTCCACATTGCTAAGCATACGTGGGTGGCGTTGCTTCCTAAGCTGCTTGAAGAGGGTTGAGAGGAAGCTACAGAGGTCTGTTTTCAAGACCTCATTAGTACTGCCAATACATTTACTCAATCCCAGTTTGTTCATCATCTTCACTATGCCCCAGCTAATATGGTTCATATGGGTTCCGGATCTGCAGCCTCTTGTCCCCATTGTGGCCTTGAGGGTGTAGATCTTCTGCACATGTTCTGGATCTGCCCGGCTCTTACATTGTATTGGCAGGATCTTTATGTCTTTTTTGACACTACCCTACATTTTCCAGTTACTCTTACTCCAGAAGTGGGTCTTTTTGGAAGTTTGAATGATTTCATACCACAGACTCATCTCAGAATTTTATTACGTATGTTCTTGTTTTATACTAGAAAAATAATCTGAATTGGAAAAATGCTAATCCACCTTCCATACAACAATTCTTTCCTTTGGTTAACTTTGATCTGCCTAAATATACATTGATATTTAAATATTGGGCTTGCTCTAAAAAGTTTGCAAAAGTGTGGCAACCTGGTTAAACATCTCAGATTCCTTCTGGGGTGATACTCTGTTATCTCAATCACTATCACATGTCTCCACAAATTACCAGTAAACTGGTTCCTACATCACTGCTGTGGTGGCTATAGGCTCTCTATATCTTCTGATGAATATGGAGGAGAAGGTGTTGTATGGATGCTTGCTTTTCTATGAATGTGTGTTTGTTCTCTGAACCCATCTTGTTAATTTCATGCGCATAGCTGTAATATTGTTAAAATTTGGGCTCTGCGTAGCACCTGCACACTTGGTATTTATGGTTCTTGCAGTGTACAATGTATTCTGACGCTGCTTTTTTGGGGCTCCTGATTGCATATGTGTCTATTTGTAACGTTTGTTAAAAAAAAAAAAAAACCTCCTAAAAAAAAAGAAAATGATGTACAGAACCCTGTTGGCCCCTTCCACCAGCCATGATATACCTGCATTGCATAAAGAAGTACAGAGACCCAGTCATACTGTAAAACGAGATATGGAGAGAAAACAGTGACAATGCATCGTGAGGAAAAATAGGGGAAGCCATTGCTGGCCTCCTGACAAAAATGCTTGCTGCCTGGCTGTGTCTGACTTAAAGTGTAAGTTCACCTTCTTAAAAAAATTGAAAAGGGACTACCACCCTACACCCCGCCTCTCCCCTTGGTCCCACTGTACTTACCTCTGTAGGTGATGAGCGGCCTACGAAGTCAGTGTAGTGGTTTGGGAATTTGAAATCCCTGCTCTTCTCCCTTTTCTTTCTGCAGTGATTCTGGGAGGAATCTGAGAGAATCTGATTGGTCAGAGCCAACACAGAGAATCGCTCTGATACGTCCCAAAAGCCCTTCAGAAAGAAGAGAGAGATGAGCGGGAAATTCAAATCTCTGGACCACTACACTGGCTGCATGTGCACTGACAGCTCTTCACACATGGAGGAAAGTACAGCGGGGACCTAGGGATGACACCTCATCCCTTAAAACACGAACAAATATTAATCCCACAGCTTCTGAGGCTAATATAATGCAGATAAGGCACTAAGTGAGTTTAATTAGCACCTTAACCCGCCACAGAACCTGTGTAATTAATATGTGTTTGGTTTTAAAGGGATGAGGTGGCATCGTGACGCGATGCTAACGCTTCAGTGTGAACAGCACTGTGTGCTGCCATATGTAGAATTTTCATAGGCATTTGAGAAGCATTAAAAATGCTTCCCAAAAGCTTATCTGACGCCTGCTGACAAAGCTAATGTGAACTGAGCCTATGTGTGCATGGACACATAGGATAACATGCTGGGGGGTGTACTAGCTGTAGAAAAAAAAACATCAAAAGCCAAAAACAGCAGCTGTAAAAATGTCAAGTGTGCACAAGGACTGATACCAGGGGCAGACTGACTATTTGGAAACTCGGGCACTGCCCGAGGGCCCGGGGTCAGTAGGGGGCCCCATGAGATGCCCCTGGTACATTTTTCATAGGCTTTTTTGAGTTTGGGCAAGGACACAGGGGCCTCATGATCCCCTATTGCCCGGGGGCCCCATGAGTTGTCAGTCCGCCCCTGACTGATACTTAATAACATATCTGATGTTTTTTTTTTGTTTGTTTTTAATGAAAAAGCAACTGCACTTTTTATATCAGCCTACAGTTAATCTTTCTGTATGCCAACATTCATCTGTTTGTGGGCAAGGAGCTCACAAGTGTAAGACTGTAGAAAACATGCACAGACTGAAAAACATAACACAGTCTAGGAGACAGAGAGAGACAAGTGGGTTGCAGTTTGTGTATTCCCCTAGGCAGGGCCATCTGGGCTGCAGTCATTTTGCTACAAGCTGTGGGCTCTTATTGTTTCTGCTATCCAATTTCAGCAGAGCATTAGGACAATTGCCGTTTGCTTCTCTGCTGAAATCCTCTTAGTGTTTGTGCTCCTTGTTAAAGCTACAGTTTGACTTAGCAGCATGAAGTAGAGCTGCAGTAATGTGATCAGTCATGCATGCTCAGCTCCCCTGCTTTAGTTGTTGTTGCATAATTTAAAATATATTTAATAGATTTGCTATGGTTTCTACAAAATCCCCAAAAAACAAATCATATTACAGAACATGCAACGTATTGCTTTCATTTACTTCTTCCTTTTCCCAAGCTGATTAGTGACATATTCCGTAAACAGAGTAGTAGACTTCATTATACTTCTGGAAAGTCACCAACAACCCAAAGGTGTTAGTCAATCCATATTCCACAGTGAATGCACTGAGCCTCCTCCTTGTGCACTGCTCATTAAATGACAGTTAAATGACAGTTATTAGATAGTACATTGAACTCTCATTTACATCCCCGTTGCGGCTTTGTTGCCCATTATGTTGGAATTCGTATTGGCATGTTGGACTACTACAATGTGAGATACTTCAAATCTTTTGAAGTTTAGAAACTTTTACATAATAAACTATGAATGTTATTAACGTGTGCCAGGCTCATCCACCTTACCAACCGTTCAGTGTCTGCTACCCCTCTCTGCCGATCCCTCCACTGGCTTCCACTTGCCCAACGAATAAAATTCAAAATACTAATAACTACTTACCAAACCATCCACAACTCTGCCCCCAGCTACATCACCAACCTGGTCTCAAAATATCAACCAAACCGCTCTCTTCAATCCTCCCAAGACCTTCTGCTCTCTAGCTTCCTTGTCACCTCCTCCCATGCTCGCCTCCAGGACTTCTCCCGAGCTTCTCCCATCCTATGTAACTCCCTACCCCAATCTGTCTGCCTATCTCCTAATCCAGTCTTTCTCAACCAGGGTGCCTTGAGGTTTCTTTAGGGGTGCCTTGGCAAAATGTCTAAAAATTGCCAAAAACTTGTATACAAGCCAGCAGGTGGATCATGCCTGCCTTTTAGTTACACAAAGTCACAGGTTTTCATTGTGCACCATTATGATCTTCTAGCCACTGCTGTCCTGACAACCAATGACATCATCAGTTGATAAGGAGAATGTCAGCTGTCTGCACAGCATCTTGTTTGAACCTCCCCTGATGCTCTATGTCAGCACTGGGGTCACATTAGCTCAGAATGGAGAAAAACTGAGGGAGAAGAGAAATCCTGGAATACTAGTCAGTACCGGTGTGCAAAAGTGTATTTGCTTTGGAAGAATAAATCACCTCTAATGTTGGGTGTCCTACATGTGTGGATGTTGCTGCTATTAGAACAGTTTTTCACATATTAGAAAGGGGTGCCTCAAGACTGTCCATAATTTTAAAGGGTGCCTTGGGGCTGTCCATAATTTTAAAGGGTGTCTTGGGGCTGTCCATAATTTTAAAGGGTGCCTTGGGACTGTCCATAATTTTAAAGGGTGCCTTGGGGCTGTCCATAATTTTAAAGGGTACCTTGGGACTGTCCATAATTTTAAAGGGTGCCTTGGGACTGTCCATAATTTTAAAGGGTGCCTTGGGACTGTCCATAATTTTAAAGGGTGCCTTGGGGCTGTCCATAATTTTAAAGGGTGCCTTGGGACTTTCCATAATTTTAAAGGGTGTCTTGGTACTGTCTATAATTTTAAAGGGTGCATTGGGGCTGTCCATAATTTTAAAGGGTGCCTTGGGGCTGTCCATAATTTTAAAGGGTGCCTTGGGACTGTCTATAATTTTAAAGGGTGCCTTGACTGAAAAAAGATTGAGAAACACTGTCCTAATCTATCCACCCTTTGATGATCCCTGAAAACCTTTCTCTTTAAAGAATCCTATCCTGCTTCTAACTACTAAACTTCCTTTTATTTCCTCCATCAGCTCATCCCCCCATAGCTATTACCTTTTGTATTACTCAACCCTTCCTCCTAGATTGTAAGCCCTAACAAGCAGGGCCCTCTGTTTCCTCTTGTAACAAATTGTATTGTAACTGTAATGTCTGCCTTCATTTTGTAAAGCGCTGCGCAGACTGTTAGTGCTATATAAATCCTGTATAATAATAATAATAATAAGAAGAAACTTATAAAGATGAACCCCAGCCTTACCTCCAGTCTTGCACAGTTGTACAGACTCCTCTCCTGTACTGAAATTGCTTACTCTGATTTCCCTGCACACTGCAAGCTGGACGACATCCAGCATCATTTAGCATGGACGTTACCTAGGGCAGTCTTGCATGCTCAGGAATTCCAACTCTTCCAGACTGACACCCATCAAGAGTTCTGGCAAGATTAACAGGTATTTTTTGCAGTTATCAAAGTGGAATAATGAAACTCTTTCAATGGTATATTTAAAGTGGTATTAAACCCAAAATGCAACCTGTCATTAGATGTAGTGGTTGCATTCATTTTCTTTTTTAATCTTTTTCCCCTCTATTTTCACCTGTTGAACTGGCCAGTAGCACAACCCTTGTATTAGTGAGACACCACTCTGGAGAAATGAGCAAACGTGGCACAGCAGTGTTGTCAGTTTGGGGGAAGGGTTTTTTAATGTATTAGCATATTTAAAGACAAACTACAGCTCAGACTGAGGTTGACTTACTAAAACTGGAGAGTGCAAAATCTGATGCAGCTGCGTATGGTAGTAAATCAGCTTCTAACTTCATCTTGTTCAGTTAAAGTGTTACTAAACCCACAACAGTAAAATCAGTCTGTATATGCAGTAAAGCATGCTTGCTATACTCACTGTGGAACCTAAGGGGTTAATCCTCTGCATTGTGTAAAAAGGCTGTTTGATCCTGTTTTCTCATCTCCTCTTGTTCAAAGATCCACGTCTTATTTCCTGATAAGACAGACTGAACCGTAGCACATGCTCAGTTTGGTTTGTATTGCTAGAGAGGTTTTGGTTTTTTTTTTCTTGGGAGAGTGCATGTGATCAGCATGGGGCCAATCAGCAATGTCCAGATCTGTCAGGGGTTTTGCATCCTCTAGAGCAGAAAGAAAATTCAGCTACAAGCTTTAACCAGTGCTCAGCTGGACACTAACTGAAGTCACAAGATGTCTCTAACTGTTGATGAGAAAAAGGTATTTAGCAGGTTATATTTACTAAAATAATTGCATTTCCATGTTCTGTGTACTGTGGGAGACCAGATATAGTGAATGCAGGGTCCTGGGTTAAGTAACACTTTAAGCGTTGGCAAAATAACAAGGAAGCCGATTGGTTTCTATGCAGAGCTGCACCAGATTTTGCACTCTCCAGTTTTAGTAAATCAACCCACTGCATAATCTGTTACAGCAAACAGGTTTTTTTTCCTTTTGGGGTAAAGGTTTTGCATAAATAAATAAACTGATCATTTTAATCACCACTGCCAGTGTTAAAGCGGAGTTCTATCCAAAAGGGGAAGTTCCACTTTAATGCCTCTTTCCTAGTCTATGGAGTCCAGTGCTGTCTTCCCCAAAGCTGATTCTTCGCAGGGTATTGCATTCCCCAGTGCTTCCATCTTGAATTAGGGAGCCAGCTGTGACTTCTTGGTGTCTCACATCTGGCTTCTCATGAGATTGCATTTCCCAGGAGTCAAGAGGTAGGGGGGCTTCCCAAGTTGACACAATTCTAAGCTAGGTGAGGAGCTAGGTTAAGGAAGTGGGAGTGAGTACCTGTGTGAAAAAAAGAAGGTTACATTCAGGTATAGGCTGGGAGGGGGAAACAATGAGAGGCAATTTAATGCTTGGCTGAAGTTTCGTTTTTAGTCTTGATGGGGTGGCATCTACCGAGCTTGAACTCTCCGCATTCTCCTGACAAATTCCCACCTACTATTAGAGTATTATTGGCATTATTTGCCTTGCCAGTGTGTTAATGACTTTTTGTGCTTTCTGGGCCTTTGGTCAATGATATGCTTGTCGAGAACAAATGTTTAGGACAAGTCTGTGAGTAAAGTTATTATAGTTCATTGCTCACAGTTCATGGATTTTTTTTTTAATGTTATAGGTCTTAGCTTGGGTTTTTGTTTGAATTTTAATGTTGTTTTCGCTGTTGTAATGCAATATTGTGTGGTGTTATTAACCCTGATACAACTTTGCCCTTGTCTTTCCCAGCATAATTGTTTTTCTAATCCTATTGGTCCTTTTGGTTTGAGACCCAATTATGGGTCATGGCTATGGATCTGAGCAGCTATGGTAGTATTAGTACTATTTTATACTGTATATAAATTAATATTATTAGTTTTAGTCATGATAGTGTTAATGTACCTCTGACATTGGTGTTATTAAACATCTTGCATAGATGGTCCAGGTTAGCAACTTAAGGTGTTACTAAACCCAGGACCCTGCATTCTGGTCTCCCACAGTACACAGAACATGGAAGTGCAATTATTGCCGTAAATATAAACTTCTAAATACCTTTTCTCATCAGCAGCATATAGCAGTCTTGTGACTTCTATCAGTGTCCAGCAGAGCACTGGTTAAAGGTTATATGAGGAGTTTTCATTCTCCTCTGCCTGTCTTATGAGGCTCCATGACCCCTGGCCCTCTGTCTGGATAGTGCTGATTTTCCCTGTGCTGATAACATGCACACCCCCCCCCAAAAAAAAAAAAACTCTGCAGCAATGCACACCAAACTAAGAATGTCCAGAGTGCCTCCTAGGGCTCTGTACTATCAGCAGATAGATCGGGGACAGTAAAAGAAGGGAAGGATCAGAGAAGACAGCATCAAACAGCCTTTTTCTACAGTGCAGAGATTAACCCCTTAGGTTCCACAGTGAGTATAACAAGCATGCTTTACTGCATATACAGACCGATTTTACTGTTGAGGGTTTAGTAACACTTTATCCCTGGCTTCATTAACGAGAATAGAAAGTTGCCAACATATAGAACTATTAAAGTGGATATAAATTCTCTCAATCAACATTAACTATTTTTAATGCTTATGCTGCTAGCATTATAGATAGACGGGAAGGTATATTATATTCACTTGGTTTCTGACCTTCGCCAAAATGAAGTTGTACATCCCAGGAATCTTCATTAGGGGAGGATGGACTTTCTCAGCTAAGCACACCCTCCTGCCTGCATGCCTGAGCTTAGGGCAGCAGGATTCCAGGATGTAAATGCTGCATGAGTCATCTGCCAGTACTCAAGGTGGCCGCGTCTAGAAATGCTAGGAGGAAGTTTTTCAAAGTGATTTCTCAACAAAATAAAGCATGGAGACATGGATGGATGGGTTAGTTTGCTTTACGGTCTTTCATACGTTGTATGTTTTCTATGGTCTGTGACTCAGATGTACTGAAGCTCTGGTCCCAACCAAGCAACTAGCATTTTCAGAAATAGCCAGTAAGGTCAGCCCTCTTGAATTTTTCTCATGACATGATTTAAAGCATATGTGAACCCTTACCTTGTAAAACAACCCATTCAGTTTAAAATAGACAAATCTTTGTATATGTATATTACAAAAAAAAAGAAGAAGCTAAATACCTTAGTGTTATCACATGACTTCTGTTCTCAGCTACATGCTTGAGATGGGGTGGTGACTACAGTGGGACATGCCAGCAGGAGGCAAAGAGACAGCAGTACACTGATCTTTCCAGTGAAGGGCTGTGCAGGGGGCTTGTCAGCAGAAGTCTGTGCTCCCAAGGAGAATGCAGAGAAGAAAGTTGCCTATGCTGGGATAGATGTGGATGGATGGGTTAGTTTGCTTTGAATATTAATAATGAATTAAATAGCATTTTCATTTTGTGGTACTCAGATACAGTTTAAGGTCCACTTCAAAGTGCTATCTTGCTTTTCCTTCTTAGAGCTGGGTGTGCAATGGCAGGACACCACTTGCAAATCTGAAGCCTTAAGATACAGATTTACAGATAAGAAGTATGTGAAATAATCTTTATGCTTATCTATTTATTACTCTTTCTTTTCTACATACATCAGGTGAGCTAATGAATTCCTGGAAAAACAGCAGGAATGTTGTCATAAACGCGCTGGGTAGCCGTGCTTCAGTGACTTTGATTTTTCCACCATATTTTAGCAGCGTTAAAATAAAAGATCACATCTGTAAAAGGGAAGCAAGGTGTCAGCAGTGAATAAATCATACATAAGGTGTGAGCCAATTTACTCCGGTAAAAGTGCAAGGCATAAGCAGAGCTCCCAGTCCAGCTTGCAGAGTTAACCCCACCTGTCCTAACACAGCAACATCCAGAAAAGAGACCAAGCCCGGCAGCCTGAAACCCTAACCCATAATGTAGCACAGGAATAGAATTACACAAGTAGCATATGGCCCCTTGCAGCCTGCTCACCTTAGTCCATATGGTAACTCAACAATGAATATCTGCCATCTGCCAGAAATTCTAGCGAATGAAAATGACGTATTCTATATGTTGTTTTCAGCATTTTTTAATGCCGAAGTCTGCAAACCTAAACAGACAGTTCTGCACTTTATACATCTAGTAATTATCAGCACGCACCTGTGCCCATAGCATGTATGGGCTTAGTAAGGCTAACAGAAATGACTGGCAATAACCTATAGCAACCAATCAGAATTATTCTTTCATCAATTTGGATATTCCAGAGAAAAATCTGATTAGTGACTAGATATTGATTACTGTACTTTACATATTATAATCTTCTCTTTGGACTTTATATATATATAGTATATATTTTAGTCTTGTAAAAAAAATGGTATTGTCTTTTAAGGCAGTAATGATGTTGTTAGTGTTATTCAATGTAGATGTTTTAGTTGTGTTGAACCTGAAACCTGAACCTGAAGGCAAGGCCTTATTAACAGTCAAATTAGACCGTTTAAGACCTAACAT